AGCCAAGCGCCCGCGCCGCAATGGGCCTGGAGCAGGTCCGCCCTAACCTAGAGTTCACTTTTTCAAGCGATGGTACTGAATGCAGTCTCGGTCCTTTAAACATATTATCGTGGTTTCAAGCCCGTCGGCCGCGCTTTAGGCGAGTACTGGCGCAGGCGCCTGGCTTTTTCACTCCAGGCGGATATAGTGGTCATGCTCATGGTTGAACTACCCCTGTGAGGAACCGGGCCAGATTTTTCATTGGGGGAGAGTTCTTATGGATGTCTCGCCTGACCTTCGGGAAGTAGGGTAATATCAAAGGCTCTGTAGGTATTGTTAGGATGATGATTCTGACATTGCCTAAACGTTACAGGCTCACTATTTATTATTATCATAAGTATAATATTACTATATTATTAACCTTCTCTCTTTTTTTTGATGCACTTTCAACTGTTTTCTTACGAGAATTGATATTCTTGTACCGTTTCGTCACATTTTATGTTTATAACAAAAACTGGCAAAATGCTTTAGATCTTCGAAGAGTTGCCTCCGCTTATCCGGGAGTCAGACTTGCAGATTTCCCAGCTTTGTTTGAAGTGTATTACCGGTTGGTTCATTGGTATAATCATTCATTTTAGTTGGGCAATGCTTTTCGCTTCACACTTCGAGCCAGGAGTGTGTGATTTGCTATTACTACTACTGCTCGGTTTTTCTTGTTTTAACCCTCTGACATTTATTTAATCCATGCAGGTTCGATTCCGGATCTGTTATTACCATTTCCAGCGTTTCCAATCTAAAGTTACTTTTAGTTGGCTTGCAAGCATATCCGAGTCGAGTCGCACCGCAACTGGACGCAATACTTGCTGCTGTCATTCACCTTTCACAATCGGCATTGTTGCAGGTGAGATCAAGAGGGCTTCTGGGCGCAGCTCGGCTTGGGAGGGCCATTCTTTTGTGCTTTCGATAGTTCCCATCGTCATTTTCTCTAGTTTACAAGCGTTAACAAGTACTCTCCACAAGGGTTGATGAGTTCCAAAGATCTGTATGTGATCGTTCGACCCGACAATGGAACGTAGCAAAGGTGCAAAATATTCCTCCCCCTCCCACTCCGAATTGCTCGTTATTCGTTTGAAACTATGGGCTCAAATATCCCATGGACGGCGTAGTTCGACGATGCAGGGGGAGGCATTTTGCACTTTGGCTGCTACATTAAATCCGGTTTACAAAGCTTACTCTGGCGACATCTGTGAAATCTTGTGAAACTGGAGGAAACTCGTTGCAACTGTGGTAAAACTCCTCATGGAATAGCTGCATAAATGGCCCACGTCGATGGGAACCGGCAAAAGTGCGAAATTTCCGCTTCTGTCGCCGAACTGCTCCCGCCCCCCTAATTTACGGGCGGGCTCTAAGCCCTTTGATAAGATAAGTTTTTTTTATTATGGGAAGTTTTCAGGGTGCCACTTTGCAAGCATCTCTTGATATGATTCAAGTATTAGTTTCGAATCCAGTGCCAGGAAAACCAGAGTTCGAGGTAAGGATACATAGTTACCCGAGTAGTCATGCAGCAGTGTATACAAGATTCATTATAGGAGTTACTTGACCAGCTCACGGCACCTGTTTATGATGTTCCAAATTTATCCAGACAAGCCTTCCAATCGATCTCTGCTGCCACCGGTGTCGTTGCAGCAGCTAGTGGAGACATGGAAAAGGTTCAGTTTTGTGCTTTATTGAAAGTGAAGCATGGTATGGTAATCGGTGATGGTAACTGAAGTTAATTATCAGTACTTGGTTCTTCGTTGGTCAGGGGGGAGGTGCTCTTCGTAACCGCGCCATGAAACCAAAAACAGTGACTGGGTGAATAAACGGTCCAAATTTCGGACTTTGAGCACTCTTCTCAATCCTTTTATCTCCAGAAACCGTCGCACTGAGTGGGTGGTATCCCAGAACCACTGTCGTCAAGGGATCTAGTCGAGACCAATAAGTCTCGACTAGGAACCATGAACCTAAGTTGTCCAAACAGCTGGAGCGTAACCTTGGTCCCTTGTTCTAATGCTATAATTAGGTTGGATACTTTTTATCTGTTCAGGTGCGATCCCTGGCGGAGAAATTGGCGGATCAACTGCAGAATGAAACGTCAACGGATGCGATCCGTTTGTTCAGTGTTCATGCGCTGGGTGAACTTGGGCGCCGTTGTCCCAAAGTCTACGAAAATAGCAGTCTTGAGTTAGTTTAAACCAGCTTCATGCCATGCCGTCTCATTGCACCTA